CTTATTGGCTTGAAGAGAAAAGATCTTTCTTTTAAGCGGAGAGTCCAGCATTTCCTACAATGATATTTGTGGAGTCTCAATCCTGACACATTTCAGACGTCATATATTACTTATATACGTAAATTTAGCTAGTGTACAGTGATAATCTTATTGTAAAGGAATCTTAAAAATTCTTATTAAAATCATCCTTTCAAAGGCTCCTACTCATTAAAAACATCCTTTTAGAGGCTTTCAACAAGACCATTCATTTCATACCAAGAAGCAAAGAACTTCTACATATTGAAATTCGTATCTGCGGCAGATTTGCATCTATTGTAGAAAACTGACAAGAGTTAAAAAAATATCTTTCATCTAAGACATTATATAATTAATCAAGAACTGAAAATGACGCAGAAAAATTTGAGGCCAAAAATAAAAAAGACCAAAGTTAAGCCTGGAAGAAAATATTGATCACAACAGATCAAGATCTATAGAATCGACCATATAAGATTATCTTATAGAAATTTTAGCCATCAGTTCTCTCAGAGAATAAAATATTACTGCGCGAGACAATTCAAAATATTATCAAAGAATTTTCTTCAATTTATGCAGTAAGACTGGAAGGTGAGATTCTTACTGAAATCATAGAATCATGGAGGTTAAAGTAGAGATAAAAAAAGGCTTAAAGAGATTCGTGTAAGAAATAAATCTCCTGATCCTAGGTTGCTAAACAAAATTATTGCAATTATTGATCTGTTAATCTGATACTAAAATTCTGAACTAATTGCTTTGTTGAACTAATGCTTATTTAGAAAAAGAATATGTTATAGTTTGAAAGGACTAATCATTTTATTATAATATTAGCGAAGTGTATTAAAACATTAAAAATCTATGAAATCACAACCATTGCGTTACTTCAAGAATACAACATTGCAGAATGGCATCGCATGGATTTTAGTTATATGCACCTAACAAAGCTATATATGGTTACAATGATGATTGGCAAGTTAAATGTCAGAATATTATATTAAGGAGTGTCGACACATGTTGAACGATAGATAAAGAGTTAATTAGAAGCAGTCAAAAGAAGTCATTAATATACAAATTATAAAGCCATTAATATATACGGATTATAAAACTAATTTTAATAAAAGTCGCGTCAAGACAAATTTACTATTCATCTTCCTGAGTCTTTCACATTGATGACGCACACTCTCTCAAATAAGAAGGGAGGATGTGCGTCACGGCAGAGCCCGACCAATCGTGAAAACACGTAATTATTTTGCGAAAAAATACCACCTCAGCCAGGAATCGAACCTGGTTCTCCTGCTTATCGGGCAGGCATCTTATTCCTTCGACTACCGAGGCATGTGATAATATTTATCGTAAATAACGTGTTTAGAATAACACGTCAACAATACAATGATACACATATATACGTATATTACAATATACATATATATAAAATATATATATATATATATATATATATATATATATATACATATATATTACAATATACATATATACACGTATTCTCTCGAATCCCCACGACTGGTACTCTAGAGAGATGATAATCCTATTCTCTCGATAGACTTCAACTCTTAAAGTAAAATTAATTAAACATACTTCATTTTGTTGTACTACCATAATAAAATAGATATTTCCTTCCTAGATAGAAAGAAGTATCTAGTTTAAAACAGTCTCGCGTTCCCGCCCGGATAGCGGTCAGTCGGTTAGCCAGGTGGGAAAGCGAGGACGTTGGAGACAGAATTAGAAAATTAAAATTTGATTGTATGCGTGATTATAACTTAACAATAGTTTATTAAAAAACAATAACAACAATAAATAGTGCCGGGTGGAAATTGCAGAATAATATAATGGAATGCGAACAGAATTTCAATTGCGGGCCGTGAGCGGCAGTTCGGCGTGTGTAACGTGTTTTTACAAATGAGGTATCGCTCCGACGCCGCCAATCGGTGCGATATTGAATTCGTTGCGCGTAACTTGGTGACACAAGGCAGTAGCGTGTTTTCGCGAATCTTTAACACGACTCTTTAAATCACGTTTACGAATTCAGGATTACGATCGGCGGATTACTCGCGAGGATGGATTATCATGGTGACTGTTCAGATAACGAAAAATAGATGTACCCATTTTCTTCCTGTTTTTGCGGGTGGAATCGCGAGGGCTCGGATTGCCGAGTGCACTCAGCCGACCGGGGTATGCTCCGGTACTCGGTATTGGTCGAATGGAGATGCAGTCGTATCGGGGGGCGTCCCGATACTCGGCAACGGAATTCGATGGCGGCGGAGTCAGATCGAGCGAACTCGATGCGCTGGGGAGTCCCCAGCAACTCTCGGCGTGGAAGGCTCGGAGATGATTCGGCCCGGCCAAGCGTACTTGGCGCGTTGAGGAGAGCCCCAATAGATCTCAGGCTTTTACCGGAATCGGGTTCGGATATTCGCTTCTATCGAGACGTACTCTCTCTCTCTAGAATCGAACGTGGAACAGGATAATTCTTCTGTGGAGAGTGATGCCTTTTTATACCCGAGATCTCGATATTTTTCGGTCGGAGCGGTTGGATTGGTCGATCTCGGGGGCATCTCCCTCCACAGGAGCGGAAAAAAAGAACTCGTTTAATTGAATTTTTGGAAAGATAAGGGATCGGAGCGCGGATGGCGAAGAGTCGGAAAAGGAGTTCAGTGATGAAGTAACGGCGCGGAATGGAGATGGTATGGTCGCTTATAGACGCAGTTGTGGCGCGGTGCGGGGCGAACAATCGTGATATTCCTACGTTATAACTCCGACGCTTTCGGAGTTCGCGAAATAATTACAATTAAAAATAAGTGAACACTTTTCTGCGACCACTGCCGCATTCCGCCTAATGTCCGGCGGTCCCCGACAGATGGTCGGTTGGGGGAAGATTCGAAGAAAGAATGGAGCGGAAGAATGCGCTCCATTACAAGTTCTTACAAAAAAAAAATAGAAAAATAAGAATAAAATACCATCGTCATAACATGTAATTCGTCTCTAATTAGGTGTAAGCTAAAAGCAAGTATCGGATAGAGGTAAAATCAATTAATGTCAGAACTGCTAATTGTGAAGAAAAGATTTTGAAGAAATTAACGGGAACAATACTCAAAGAATAGCAGCAATGGACAACATTGGACATACGACGGTGTGAAGAATATCACGAAATCAACAGCTTCATATATACCATGTTTAATCTGTACAGATACTTTTTCAAGGGGAAGTCCCAATTGCGCACAGAATAAATCGGACACAGCAGCAGGTTGAATGAATCGGACACAGGTTCAAACGGACACAAGGTGGTTGAAATCGGACACAGTAAAAATCGGACACAATGGCACTCGGACACAGTGGCAATTAGACACAGTAACAATCGGACACATTGAAAATCGGACACAGTAGGAAATGGACGCACGAATAGTTAAATAGATAAATAGATAAAAGAATCTGGCAAAAAATGCGGCGGTCTGCCTCACGAACCGAAATATTAAGTTGATGACTTTTTGGTAGAAATCTGTCATAGCGACGTGCAGCAAACAGCATTGAGCATGCGTTGTGTCTCTGTACGCATGATAAGAGAGTTCGGGGGGCGAAACTTCCCAAACGAGGATCGAAAGGGCGAAGTCTCCTGGTGAGAGAATGGGGGGGGGCGAAGCCCCCCTCCCCACTATCACATAATTCATTACGAAAACAATACAAAATTATATTTGTAACAAAATGAAAAAATCAGCGAAAACTTCACACCCAATCCTTGCGTTGGGGTCTTTCTAGGATCTATCATTTTAGTATATGATAGACTCATCAATTTAGTAAGATGAAAGATTACATCTTCACTCCCAAATCTTAGCATAGGAGTCTTTGCCAATCTTTCTATCATTTTAATAAGATTGCATCTTGCACTTCGAATATAACAACATTTTTAAGAAAACTGTCATGATTGCAACTATCCGTGCGTCCATTTCCTACTGTGTCCGATTGTTACTGTGTCCGATTGCAACTACCGTGTGTCCATTTCCTATTGTGTTCGATTAGTACTGTGTCCGATTAGTACTGTATCCGATTTTCAATGTATCCGATTTCAACCACTTTGTGTCCGTTCCTTATTGTGTCCGTTTGGACCTGTGTCCGATCCATTCAATCTGTATCCGATGTTGTATTCGATTTATTCTGTGTGCAACTGAGACTCACTCTACTTCAAGAGGATGATTTTCCTCCAAGAATTCTTTTATATACTTGGCTCCTGCAAATGTCTATCGCCAACTAACATTTTCTTTAGTTGTGTTATTCACTGACAAAGCTGTGTTCACTAGAAATGGAGTAATTAATTTTTATAATATTCATTATTAATCTGATGAAAACTCACATGCCATTCTTGAATCAAGACATCAACAATTTAGTGTAAATATGGGCTCCTGCTTACATTTCTTATACTCAACACTAATTTAATCGGATCTGTTTTTTCTTGATCAGAAATTAACAGAATAATTGTATGCAAATTTGTTAAGAAGTCAGTCGCTTGAATGAATTACTGGAAAATGTTTTTTGATGTTGTATATCGCAACATGTGGTTTATGCATAATGATGCACCACCCCACATAGAACAAAACCCTCTAGTAGACGTCCATTAGACGTCGGTCATGGATATTCGGAACATCCATTAGACGACCATTAGACTTCCAGTAGATGTCCACAAAAAATCCACAGTTCCGCTTCGTGGAAGTCTATGAGACCTCTGTTAGACGTCTTCCATAGACGTCTGTTAGACATTAGATGGATTGCTAATAGAGGGTCCATAGAGTCTTGGTAGACGACCAACACGAAACAAAAACCTCTAATAGATGTCCATTAGAGATCCATCATGAAGATTTGTAACTTCCATTTGACGTCTATGAACCCTCCAGAAGATCTCTACAGAAAAAATTAATAAAAAGAATTTTTTATGATACTGAACAAAAATATTTTTTTTGAAGGAACGAACAGCGCATATACATACGTAACGCAATGGAACTAATGAAATCTTTTTTTATCTTGTAAATGTCGATAACGTCACATAATTTTTCCGAGAGTCAGCCATCCTTGTAGTATACACGGTCGAGCTTGCTTCACCTACGTAATCGGCTAAAATCAAATACTATAACAATAGTATAATTAAACAGAATGTTGATATAAAAATATGACAAATTTTCTATCAGTAAATGTTATTACATTATCATAAGATTCAAATAGTCTCAATGTCAATGTCCTGATAGCGTGTAATTTTTGTAGATAATTTAATTATATGCATAAAGGAAAATTATATGTTATATGTTATATGTGAAGATTATAGGTTATATGGATTTTTAATATCATGTTCCATGTGAGTAGTGTTTATAAATTTACGTATATATTTTATTTACTCATTTATATATTTATTGATCGTATTAAATACGTGAGATATTTCTTTTATTCGACATTATATGTTTTCTTGTGTTTGGTATAATCATTTATATACAATCAAATAGGAATAAATAAGATACATGCAATAAATTTTTAATTTATTTATAAGTATATATTCTCAATTTTTATCATAAAGTAATCATCTACAAATGATCTAAAACCTCCAATTAAGCTCTGTATATGATCCATAAAAGTGTCATGAAACATCTGTAATTCATCCATACAACCTCCATAAGACATCTAATAGAAGTTTGGTAGAACTCCATTAGAGCTCCATCATGGTGATAGTATAGGTCTCTATTAGAAATTTATTTGACTTTCACCATGGAGATAGATGTCGCATGAAGGCCGTGGAGATTATGTGGACCTCTAATGGATGTCATGTTCCGTGTGGGACCATCCACCGTGAAAGTTCGCTGGACAGCTAATGGACATCCACGATGGAATTCTAGAGCACCGTTCACCGTGGAGGTTCGCTGGATGGCTAATGGACGTCCACGATGGAATTCTAGAGCACCATCCACCGTAAAAGTTTCCCACTGAAGATTAAACATCCACTGAAGATTATGTTCTATGTGGGACCTTTAGCCGAGTAGCCAAACAGTTCTTAGACGAAAGATTTCCTCGAAAATGAATAGGTCATGAAAGACCTATTACTTGGCCTACTCGTTCTCCAGATTTAAATCTATTACACTTTTATTTCTGGGGCAACATAAAAACAATTGTGTATTCGACACCCATTACTAATGTTGAAGTGCACATATGCAACAAGTTTAAGTTTAATAGATCATATATCCTGGAATTTTTAAAAGAGTGACAAACTGTTTGACACAAGCTTGTATACAAACCAACAGAGGTGAAATTTCAAGCATCTTCTATGAAGATAAGCAATTCCGGGTTATTGAAATACAAAAATGACTATAACTCTGAAACAAAATTGAATAAGACAAATGTTCATATGAATTTTTGTCATTGTTTTTATGTCTCTTATCCACTCCTGAAGTGGATTTCACATGTTACGAAACATTCTGTATAAAGGTATTTCGACCGGTTTTGTGCTCATAAGGCATGTATACTTGGCGTAGACACTAGTCCGTATCTGTAGAAGATATGTAACACTTATAATTATAGTAAAAGTCAATGTAATGTTATTAGAAATAAATTTTTTAACATTAATTGAACTTTATTTTCCATTTTTTTCTTTTTTTCCATTAAAAAACTAAGAAATTTCACAATTTTTTGTACGTTTTACTTTAAAAAATCATAGTGGTCACCATGAAAAAATCTCACAACTATTTGGCAAACTTTTTTAAATGCACAGTATTTAAAGAAACAAAAAAAAACATGAATAAATTTTTTTTATTGCTCTACACAAATGTTTTGGGGTCAAAATGAAAAAGGGAAAAATTAACTTTTACATTATTTTTGTCCATTTGTATCTATATGTTCTTAAAAAATTTTCATGATTATACATTCAGTAGAGCAAGGTTCAGCTTTTCCTTTTTTAATTACGATACAGTGATTTTTGTGCTGGTCATGGAGAGTATATACATATATGTATCTGTAATGTATGTATAGGTATATATACATTGTATGACATTGTATTATATAATTTGTTGTTCTAAACACGTTACTGCAATAAATCATGCCTCAGTAGTCGAAAGGATAAGATACTTAACTAATAAGCAGAGGATTCAAATTTAATTGTTAGCTGAGATAATTTTCGCAAAAATAATAATTACAAATTTTCACGATTATGACTGGTTCGTAGTTGGTCCCGTGACGTATACCCTTCCTTTTTATTTTTTGATTTTTAACGAAATTATGAGCAATCAAAATCAAACTGCTCATTTTTTATTTAATCCGTGATAATTCAATAACAAGAAATCGTAGAAACATTTAAAAAATGATTTTATAAGAAAAACTTGAAATTTTCACATTATAAACAAAAAAATTTTCTTTTTTGTACATATCGTATGTTTATAAATTGAGAAAAAAATTTTCTATTTTGTCTAGCTCATAATCATTTTCTATATATAAAAATTATCAAAAAACTTAAAAAACATAGTGACCTTTCGTAAATAGAAATTTTAAGCTTGAAAATTCTTTTTTTAAATTTCGTTCATTTTTAAATAATAAAGTTAGCTATTTGAAATTTGTCTATTTTTCAGAAGAAAAATTAAGTGTTCCTCTAATTTTTGTAATACTAGATGTAGAATAGTTTATATTAGAAAGAATAATTTATATTCTCTTGAACTGAATGATTCTTAAATATTTTTAAATATTTTATTCTATTGTTAAAAACAATAGAAATGTTAATAAATTTTTAATAAAATTATTTTTATCATTTAAAATAAATATTTTAGATGATAGAAATAAATAGATTCTGTTATATGTTTTTCTACATCAGAAGTGACCAATCTTTAATCTAGTTTAACCATTAAACGTTTAGTCTAATGTCATTATGGAGAACCAAAATCTTTGTGCCCCTCTCTACAGAGAGTAAGTAAAAATAATAAATAAATCAATAAAATAAGATCGTCATTTTACATCTATACTTTTGTTTTTAAAATCTTTGTCATGTGATAAAAACACAGTAATGAAATATCAACTCAATATTTTTAGCAAACGCCCAAAATAAATGTAGCTAAATAGCACAAATTTAAAGAATAAATTTTAATGAAAAATGGTTGCTTTACTGTATCATTTTTGATTTTTTGAATTTTTCTCAATAGCATATGTTCAGGCATGCCATCAAAAATATTTTCGCACAGCACTAGTAATATGTGTGTTACGAGTTGGCCATCCCTGTTCTATATGATATTTCAAAATAAAATAAAATTAAAATATTCTATAAAGTTTTGGCTTACCTGCATCATATCACATTAAATTAATTATGTTTTAAAACATAATTATAATTTAAATTCTTTAAACTGACAGAGAAACGCGAAATATCAAATTCTAATTTTAATGAAACTTTGTATACATTCATATTTTTATAACACATGTAATACATGTAATACATGTTTTTACATTTTTATAAAATTTCTAAAAATAATTATTTTTAAAAAATATTGACGTAGATGAATAGAAGTAATTTTATTGTAAAAATTTTATATAAAATATTTTTTTATATCTTGAATAGTTTCTGAGATATAACAGAAAAAGCTGGAAACTGTTTTATACATTAGGGATATTTCTTAAAATCCTTTTAACAATAACTAATATTTTTTATTAATCTATCAAATTCACCTATTTACGTAATCTAATTATGTAATCTATATGTATACAAAGTTTCATTAAAATCAGAACTTGATTCGCAAGATTCCTTTGTAATTATGTTCTAAACATGAATATAATTTTCTAGAAGACAATTATAGAAGATCTAATTAATGCCTTAATTATATTTAGATGTAACAAATACCAAGCATTTCGATGTTGCCTTGAGTTTCACTGGCAAGTCTTAACAGAATAGGTTTCAATCGTTCGCATGCTTGATACAGCTCTTTCATTAGCTCGAGGTCTTCTGCACTTGTTTCATTCTGATTATATGAATCTAACATTTCTGATAACAACATTACATTGTTTTGCACTGATTCTAATTCCATACCTCTTTGAGAGTTTAACTGCAATCTTTCCTCATCCTGAAAATATATAACGCAAGTTTGTAAAGAATCTGATATGCAAATCTCAATAAAATTTTTAAAATATCAAAATCAGAAATATAAAGAATAAAATATTTGAATCTCAACTTTTGTTTATACAAATCTTCCTTAAAGAGATATTTCAAATATCACTTTAAAATTTAGATTGATTTACCTCTTTTACCATAAACTTGATCAGTCGGTTTGCAGTTTGCAGATCGGAAGGATCTTTACTATGAAGCAATCTACGCAAATGTCTTGACATCTCTTCATTTTCGAATATATTATTTTTCATCTTAGATGATTTTTGTCTTTCTTCGTTATTTGTCATTATAAATGCTGCATCTTCCTGTAATTTGTTTGATATCCGATAGACGTCTTTTAACATCTTATAACTATTTAACTTTTAAAAAACATTTCCTAACAGCACGCGACATACTGCAAATCATCTTATTTTCGTACTGCTTGTACTGTGATTACTGTAACGTACGAAATCCACGCTAGAACATCACTGACAGTATTATTCGATTTTCTTTCGTCGCGCGTATATTCTCAGGATTTACGCAGCGGTACGAAAATATATGATACATACATTTTTTCATCGCACACGTATATTCTCATAGCGCTTTCCCTTGGGACGCATTGAGAGCATGTTTGGTCGCTTGGTGTACCTTTGTATCAGTTACGTGTGAGCGCTGCACTGCACTCATGTGGTGTATGTACACACACTTCATGCTGTCGTGTTTATTTCAGATCACAAATTTGCAGCAGTTTTAAGTTACATAGAATCTGTATTCGATAAACTAATATAAAAAAATATATAAATTTAATAATAAATTTAATTAAAATAATTAATTAATTAATCATTTTAATTTAATTTTTTTTAATTTAATAATAAATTTTTCATCGTCATTTCATTTCATTTCTTCTTTACTCGATAAAGGTAATATATTAATATAATTCATTATTATGCTAAAATGTTGCTCTTGGTTGACTTCCATGTTTACAATTTAAATTTAAATGTTATTCTCGCTCACACCGTCCATTTGAGACGATGTAACAAAACCACACTGCGTGCATAAAACTTGTACTACACCGCAGCCACGGAAACACATTACACCGAATAAGTTCGCCAGCCACCAGCCATGGAAACACGCTACAATGTCTGAGTGTTGCACTAGTGGGCGGTAGTGCAGCTAAGGGAAAACGCTATCAGGTTATATTCAAGTTATATTCAGGTTATACTCAGAGGTACGAAAATGATACGTACGCCTTTCTATCGCGCGCGTATATTTAATTATATATAAAAGATTTGATATAAAAAATGTGGCACCAAGTTATAATCTTATTATCTCGAAAGTTAAATGTAGAATTGCTTTTAAAAAATATAAATCAATCAATGATTCGTATCTTTGTATTCTCATTAAAGTGTTCTTATTCTAAAACTCAAATGTTATATTCGGTAATAATAGCTTTAATTCTTTTTAAAAAATAATGGTATCATAAAATTGCATTAAACTTAAGGGGATCCTAAAGCGAAGAACAAACTCCGATGGCCTCCCGCTAATGCCTTCTAAACGGAATTAAAAAAATGTCGATAACAATTTAAAAAGTCAATATTATCGACAATTTAAAAAATCTATATCGACATGTTGACTAATTCCATGACTAATTCCGTTTACTATCATATTAATTTTTATCATTTTACTAAATAAATGAAAACACATGTATATATTATATGTATACATGTATTGTCAATGCAGTAGTCATTCTTCACGATGTTCGCTATGTCCAATATCCTTATAAGTCAGAACGATGGACACTACATATA